GTGTTTGGGTAAGCAAATGGCTTTCCCTGACTCACTGGACTGTTTTTCTCCTTGTTTATAAAATTGAACATGTGACATGTAATAGTGACAGAGAGCAGATTGGTGGTTGCCTGGAGACAGGGAATAGGTGTAGGACAAGAGACTGTAAAGGGATATGAGGCGTCCTGTAAGAATGATGGATATGTTCACTATCTCAATTGTGGTGAGGTTCTTATAATTCTACACATATGTCAAGTTGTGTGCATAACTATGTGCTATGTACTGTGCTGGTGGAACGTTTGTGTCTCCCGAAAAATTCATATATTGAATCCTAATCCCCAGTAGGATGGCATCTGAAGTGGGGCAAATGAGAGGTGATTAGGTCATGAGGGTGGAGCCCTCATGAATGAGATTAGTGCCTTCATAAAGGAGACACTAGAGGGCTCCCCGGCCCCCTTCTGCTGTGAGGACACAGTGAATCTGCTGGTGCCTTGATCTTGGACTTCCAGTCTCCAGAACTGTGAGAAATAAATTTTTGTTGTTTAGACGGCCACCCGGTCCATGGTATTTTTGTTACAGTAGCCCAAACAGACTAAGACATACTGATATTAATTATACCTACTAATTAAACTAGAGAGAAACTTTAAAAAAAAAGTGAACATAACAAAAGAGAATACACACACACTTTGCAGAAAACCATGTCCTAGTGCTGTTAAAGGAATAATTATCCACAATAATTAATTGTGGAGTTGCTTTTTTAAATACCCTCCCTGAGAGATTGAGAGATTCTTCTTGTAAAACCTGTGAACAGAGAGATGATAATGACGGTGTCAGATAATTCACTATAGTGGCAATTCTGGTATTAGATAATCTACTGCACTGAGTCATAAGTAAATGCTGACAAGTCTAACATCAGGCTGTGAGCAACAGAAAATGTCTGGCATTCACCAATTTTTAAAAAGTTCAACTCCTCACTTGGAACAGAAATTCATTAAGTGTATTATCTTTGATTATCCTTTTTGGTTGCCAAGGAGGTTTAAATAGGAACAATTATTTCTTTTACAGAAGGAGTGGCAGTGAAGAAACAAAACTTCAAAGGTCCTTGTACCTCCTGGAGAGGAGAGGAGAAAATACACTCTCCTGTTTCCAGCAGAGCCCACATCCCTTCAACAACAGTGGGCAGGTGCAGCCTCTGCTGGTGTCTGTCACCACCCTCAGGACCAAACACCCTAGTATCCCTTGCCCACCAGGCCACACCCCTCCTCAGCAGTCCAGACACCTTCCAGATGTTGAGGTATCTCAACATCCTCCAAACACCAGATGGAGGTATCTCAAGATCTGAGCACCGGCTACACAGCAACCCCTCACTGGAGGCCCAATCACCAAACCCCTGAGAGTCCAGAGACCAGTCAGTCCATGGGCCCCTCCTCTAAGCCCCAGGCTCTGGAAATACCACTAGTTCTCTTCTGTTCCCCTGTTCTCAAGGACAATAGCTTCTTCCTAAAGTCCCTAATCTTGAAGTTGCTCTGTCATCCTTTTGCTCCTTCAGACTTCCAGTATGCATATATTCAATTCCCTATATTTAATCCCCTGTGTTTGAAATACCTAGCACAACTTTCTTTTTCTAGCTAGGCTTTGACAGGTAAAAGGGACTCATTTCCCTCATAAACTGCAGTTTCTCCAGATCCTATAAGCTTAATAGACCCATTTTCCACCACTATCAAAGTGAACCAATAATTTATCAACTTTGTCAGCCTGGCTTTCCAGAAGCAAAGGGGTATACCTGGGAGCCTGGCCAGCAGACCAGCCCCAACATGAAAGTACAGGCAAGTAGCTGATGGAAAAGCACCCAGGTGAGAACCAGAGGACTGGATTCTAATCTGTAGCTGGATCTTTGGCTCCCTGACTTATCAGGGACAAGCCCTCAAGTCTCTTGAACTTGAAGTTATTCATTTGCTAAATGAAAGGGCTCAACTACATGATCTTTAACTTCCCCTCTAGTTTTTATTTTGTTAGAGTTAAAAACCCCTTTCTGTCTCAATTTCCTCATCTGAAAAATCTGAAAAGTAAGTGGCAATTCTACTTCTCTGAGAAGCTTGTTTTAAAGACACCACTTAATAGTTTTTATACTATTTGGAGGACAATTATTCAATCTCAGTACATTTCTTGAGCATCTCACTGTAGGAGGGGTACTATATACCAAGTGCTGAAAACACAGAAATGAATAAGATGCATGTCTTGCCTTCGAGGAATTTGCAGTAATAAACTGGAAAGGAAGGGGGGCTGAGACATGGCCTCCCAGAGGAGGTGCCATCCTGAGGTGGGTTTTGAAGGGGCAATAGGCATTGGCTAGGCAGATAAAGGAGAAGAGCATTCCTAACAGACATCATATTACAAAGACAAAGGTGTGAAAGCTCATGATGTCTTCAGAGAAGTAGAAACCATTCAACACCGTGGAAGCTTAAAGGGTGTTGAAGTAGTGGGGAGGAGGATGAGGGCTGAGGATGGCCACAACATTCGAAGAGGTTGGATCTCATCTTGTAGCCCCTGGGGACTACTGGGGAGTTTTTAGAAGAGGACTGGCATGGTTCCATTTCAGAAGAAGTGATGCTGGCAGCAACATGGAGAATCAGTCAGGAGCTAGCAGCCCAGCTTCAAGCTATAGCGGTCACCCAGGCCATGGATGATGAAGGCTGGAACTAGGACAATCACAACAGGAGAGGGAAGATTTGAGGAAGACACAGAATCTGAAGCAGGATCCAGGCTCCGAGCTGTCAGCACAGAGCCCAACACGGGACTCAAACCCATGAACCGTGATTATCGTGACCTGAGCCAAAGTTGGACGCTTAACTGACTGAGCCACCCAGGTGCCCCAACACTCTCTAATCTTTAATGGACTTGACCATTCAGCAGTATTTAACACTAATGAACATGCCCTCCCCGCTTTAGAAATTATTTTTCTTTCAACATAAATAGTATCTCATTTTCCTGACGTTCTTCCAACTCTCTAGTCTCTCCCTGAAGTCTTGTCTTTCCTTGCCCAGTCCTTACATTTAATATTCCTCAGGTTTCTCTCTTTGGCCCTCTTCCCTTCTCCCAATATGAACTCCCTGCTTATCTATTTGTTCTCTATACTTCAAATACCTACAACTCCCAAATAACTGTCTGACCCTCCGGCTCATATGGCTGGGAGCCTAGTGGCCATCTGTAAGCTCCATGAGGACAGGTTCCATGTCTGATTCATACAAACAGTGAGTGCATACATGTGCATGTAAAGATGTGTGTATGTGTGTGTGTGTGTGTGTGTGTGTGTGTGTGTGTGCACATGCATGCACACACAGGAAAAGTACACTATCTGGAAAGGATTCATACCAGTTATTTGGGGTTATTTTTATGGGAGAAATGGACTTCCATTTTTTATTTAACATGTATGTATTTGTTTGAATTTTGTACAGTAAGCATGAATTGCTTTTATATTTTCTAAAAGATAAAGGAATTCCTAAATAAATAAATAAAGGAATTCCATACCCTTTTCTCTTTTCCAACTGCTGCTGATCCTCATCATTTCTCCATGACCACTGTAACATCCTTGCCTCTAATCTCGTCTGCTCTCAGCTCCGTCCTCCAAATCATCTCCAAATCACAGGGTTACTATCACATCGCTCCCTCCTTAGAGACCTGCCAGGAATAAGTTCGCTCCTCATAAGGACTCCTAAGGAGTTCACGATCTGGCCCCCATCTTGGTCCCCAGCTTTATTTCCTCCTATGCCTCCTCACCTGCTTTCAGGCACAAAGACCACATCATTCTCCATACAGCAAATTTCCTGGTGATCCTTGAAGATCCATCTCAATGGATTCCCCTGACTCTTTCAAGCAGATCAATCACCTCAACACTTTGCACCTCCATTTGAGCATTTCTATAGTAAATTCTAATGCATCTATGTTCAGCTTCACGAGAATATGAATCCACAGGTGCAACAGTCCTGCCTCAGCATGTCCTTGTCACCCTAGTGCCTGGCTCATTCCCTGCCTGATAGTAGATGTTCAATAAGTATTTATTGAATGAACGAGAGATAAATTTCTTCTTTTAATTTTTTTATGTTTATTTATTTTTGAGAGACAGGGAGAGACACAGCATGAGCAGGGGAGGGGCAGAGAGAGAGGGAGATACAGAATCCGAAGAAGGCTCCAGGCTCTGAGCTCTCAGCACAGAGCCAAACACGGGGCTCGAACTCACAAACTGCGAGATCATGACCTGAGCCAAAGTCAAGACGTTCAGCTGACTGAGCCACCCAGGCACCCCAATTTCTAAGTGTACTTGGGAAAATGGTAACAAGTTCTTTCGGTTTCCTTCTACCTCTCCTCCATATCCCATATCCAGGCATCCACTCTGCAGAGGAGGATACCATCACTGCCATCATATGCGTCCCCGAAGCCCTGGTGCCTGACCACACCGCCCCCATCAAGGTGCTCCCCTCCCTGCCGATGCCTTGCTCAGTCACTGGAAAGCCTAGGAGAGCTGCCAGGGACATGGCCTTTGACGACCACTCACAAAGCACTCCTCTGCTTCCTTATCCAGAAACCCATGGTGGTAAGCAAGATGAGCCCCATGGGGTTGGCTGAGAACTGAATGGGATAGTACCTGTAAAGCAACTAGAGCAGAATCTGGGTCCCTGCAGGAGACTCCACTATTCTTCCTTTCTCCAAGCATTGTTCTCTTTTTAATAGATTTTTGAAAACAAGAAAGACTTTGCCATTTTTTAAATGACTATTTAATGAAGGTAACAGCAGGTGACAGAGGCAGTAAGGGCAAAAGGCTTGCAGACAGAATCCTGCCTGGTGCTCTCAGGTCACTTTGCAAACAGCCCTGCTTTGTCTGCTTAAATACCCCTATTCTCTATTGGACTTCCGCAAATATACCCTGTCCTCCTCCTTCTGTAATGTCCCTTCTGCCCATCTTCTCTGCCTAGCTATACCTTACCCATTTTCAAGGCCCCGGTCACCAAGTTACCGCCTCAGTAGAGCCTGCTCTGATTATCTGAGAAGGAATTAGGTCATTTCTTTCTCTGTGTTTCCACAGAACATCATGCCCGCCTCTCTACCCACCTACATCACATTATTCTCAAAGCTCCATTTCTGGGTCAGCTTTCCCACACTAGAAAGAAGAGAGCTTTTGATGCTTCCTTCTCCATGATGCTTAAGAGATCTGCTCCAGAAGATGAGCCAGCACTTATTTCCAAAGCTACAGAGTAAGTAAAGAAGAAATTAATTATAATTGACATGGAGAATTTTAAATCTGGAAGTTGCTATTTGAATTTGGAACAAGAAAGAGGCCCTTATTAAACCATTACAGGGCACAGAGTGGCAAGAGATACCGTTATCACTGGATGATATGGCGGGAATTCCTGGCTCTTCTGTGTTGGAATTTAATGTCTACCTTAAATAAATCTCACTCTCAATGGGGGTTTTGACAGTACCAGGGCCATTAATGAGGAAGAAAAACCCTGGAAACCTAATTATCGGCTCGAAAGACACCCAGGGACAGCTATGTGAGGAAAAGGTGTGACATCTGACTGGTGTATCATTCGGGGCCTGTGCTGCGTCTGGTTGTTTGTAACTAATGCAATTATTTTCCTCTAGGGTTGTCTCTAAGGGACGTTTTAAAGAATGCCATTTACAGTGACCACACAGTAGACTGAAGAAAAAGAAGTAACAAATTGTATACAGACATCATGGAAAAGAGAGCCATCATGGAAAAAAGTGTGCTGACAAAGATTACTCCTTCAAGCAAGGTTGCGCCTATTCTCTGATGGGCAGCCTTTAAATTAAAAGGTGCGGGTAGCCAATAAGTACCTTCAGAGAAGAGGGTGGGAGGACCACGATGACAAAAATCGTCCAGATTCTATTACATGTTATTTGTCACTCAAAAGAAAGGCTTTAACCGACAAAAGCAGGCTTTTCCCCAGACGGTGACTTTGCTGGGTATGTACTGGCTGCTTTGCTATGTTTTATTGTTCTATGTTTCACTGTTATGTTTTCTTCATTCTGTCCTTCAAGGAGCCTGAATTCAGTGTCCATATATACACACATGCCCTAAACAGCAGACTCTACTGTTTGATTAGCAAATTGCCTCAGAAACATTCAGGGAATTTCAGAAATATTTCACTCCAAAAAGACATGTGACTGTCCACCTTACTGGAGGGTAATTGCCTACATCAAAGTTCTTAAAAATGTGTCAGGCTTTCAGCCAGAAATTTACCTCCTAGGAAACTATTCTAAGAAAATTGTTAAATATTTGTGCAAATATGTGTGTATGAGGCCAATCATTGTAGTAAGTGGTTCAAATCCCTTAAATATCTGACCATTACAAATCGCTAAAAGAAATTACGATCCATTCACCTAATGAAATCTGATAGCACCTAAAATGATATATCGGTAATAGTATATTAAATAGGAAAAAAAAGTTACAAAACAAAACGACTAGCACACTCTCATTCTTTTTATTTTAAACTTTTTACATGTTTATTTATTTTTGACAGAGAGAGACAGAGACAGTCAAGTGGGGGAGGGGCAGAGAGAGAGGAAGACACAGATTCTGAAGCAGGCTCCAGGCTCTGAGCTGTCAGCACAGAGCCCAAGGCAGGGCTCGAACTCACAAGCCACAGGATCATGACCTGAGCTGAAGTCGGACACTCAACCGACTGAGCCACCCAGGTGCCCCTAGCATGATCTCATTCTTATGAGGAAAATAATATTTTGGTTTTTTATTTTCCTAATCAGGTCAGTGGGTTGGTCAGTATAAGAAAAAATAAGTTAAAGTGGTAAAACATAAGAAATAAACATTTTGTTTTAACCTAAAACATAAACGTACACTCCTCTACCAGTCATTTGATAAAGAGCCAAGATTAATTCATTTTGGTTGTGGGTCCACTTTTTATAGCTCTACATCATCTGTCTTTATGTACCACACTGTCAAGTATTTTCAGTTTCAATTTCTTTAATTGGTGAGAAAACATAAAGAATGTTGTGAAGCAATCTAAGTCCAAAATACTTCCATATTTTTATAATTTTTCTCCAACTCTGATGGCTGTCTTGCCTCCACCTGACTTGATAGCAAAACTTAGCAAGTTGCATTTTTAAAAGTTTTTCCACACCATTGAAGTTAATTTCCATAAAAGTGACTCTCTTTGCAAAATCACATTTCATCAGTTTGCATAATTGAAATAACACCACCAGTATAAACAAATTTCGGTGGCGAAAATACAACTAGCTCTTGATCAGTAGACAAAGCTGGTGAGAAAGTAAATGCATTCTTGAAAGTGACCTCCTTGCCACATTAAGCAAAAAAATTTTTACTGAGCAAATGGAAAGCATTGTTTAACACAGCATGTGGGCCTGGCAGAGATCAGAGAAAGATGGAAATGCTCTTCTCCCAGCCGTCTGTGTGGCTGGCTGGACAATAATCTTCCCGTCTCAACCTCGGCCACCTCCCAAGGAAGTCTTCCATGATTTCCTTGACCATTCCTCCTATTCTTCATCACATCACCCTGTGTTTTCATCATAAAAAATCATTATCTGTAACTCTCATTTATTCTTTGATCACTTGTGTCTTGTCTGTGTTCACCAACAGAATATAAACTTGTCCATCCCATTGTTCGTTAGTGCCTAGCACAGTGCTTGATATGTAGTTGTCATTTGAACTTTACTTAGAGTTCATATATATGTATGAAAACTTATAGTTAAAGTGATCTAGTGGTGTTGGGAGGATGAAATATTATATCTCATCAGAGGAATACATACTCTTATCACCCACAGTGTAAGTTGCAAACAAGTTACTGATGTGGAAAACAGAGGCAGAAGGAAATGGCAGATAAAATTAAATTTCCTTCTAACCTGCAGCCCACTGACAACTACCTGAGGCTGGCAGAGCAATATGTTTCTCTAGGAACTCACTGTCTTAATGTTTTGCTAGCCTGAAAAACAACCTTAGCTTGACAATAGCTAGGCCTCCAGTATCCTGTGAGTCTTCTTTAGCATAGGAGAATCTCTTTGGAAACTTGCCTTTGACTTTCCCTCCCCCAACCCCCAAGTATATAATCAGTCTCTCCTGTAGGTCCCAAGGCAGCTCTTCTTGCCCATGGGTCTTGTCCCTGTGCTTTAATAAAAGCACTTTTATTCACTAAAGAAGTCTTTAGGAATTCTTTCTTGGCCGTCAGCTCCGGACCCCACCATCACTCCAAAACCTCATCATTTACCATTAAAAAATAATTAAAATTATGATTGATAACACTCTGTTGTCATCATCTATTATCAAGCAACACATCCCAGGACTCTGATAAATAGAAACACCACAGACAGCAAGGGCACTGACAATTCTCTGGGAACTTCTCCAACAGCACACAATTTCTGAACTATTTGTATTATTAACATTTTACCCTCACAAATTTAACCTAGAGAAAGTAAGTATCTCATCTGATTTGACCTCTCTTCCCATGCAATTCATCCATAGTAACAAATCAAATAAACTTAATTATTCCTAGCATCTCTCCTTTAGAACGTGAAAGAACAAATTCTTTGTGATTTTCCAGGGCACTTTGAAAATCTCAAAGACCATTTTATATGCAAAAGACATTATTTAGGATTCAGGTTTGCAAAGGCAAGAGTCTGACTCACCACCAGTCCCTCATTGCCAATAGAAATTGAGCACAAAGAGCTCCAAGAGGGTGAGCTACCTGGGTGGAGTAAACAGGTTTCCAAAGCAAGAGTTCTACTCCAACCCATGAGGCAGTATCCCAAATGTGAAAGACAATCTGAACCAACCAGCTAAGGGGATGATTTTCTTCACAAGGAGATTTATTAATGAGGAATGTCTCAAAAGCAAAGGAAGGAGTCTGGGGTTTCATTGTGGAAGATCAACAAGAGAGTCATCTGCCAGTCGTCGAGGAGTCATGATGAAGGATGGGGTGGGTATATCTCAGAAAAAACAAGGGCAAGATGGTCCTTTGTGGTGTCAAGGACTCCTTCCTCAACTGATCTTTAGACTTCTCTGAGCACTCTTCTTAAGTAGGTCTCGTGCTTGGCCTCCTGACCCAGTTTCACAAGAATACTGCCAAACCAGTTTAGTAAGAATCTCCCCACCCCATCGCTAACCAAATTCCTCCCAGTAGTTTTCCATCCACTTGACCTTTTCGCCTGCCTATTGTCTATAATTCCCATCTGCCCCTGTTGTATCAGAGATCAGTTCAATCTCTCTCACTGATTGCAATATTCCTGGCCCCTGTTGCAATAGTCTTTTTTTAAGAGTAATAATTTATTTACTTTAAATTCAAGTTAGTTAACATACTGTAGTATTGGTGTCAGAAGTAGAACCCTGTGATTCATCACTTACATACAACACCCAGTGCTCATCCCAACAAGTGCCCTCCTTCATGCCCATCACCCATTTAGTCCATCCCCCCCACCTCCCCTCCAGCAGCCCTCAGTTCTCTGTATTTAAAAGTCTCTTGTGGTTTGTCTCCCTCTCTGTTTTTATCTTATTTTTCCTTCCCTTCCCCTATGTTCATCTGTTTTGCTTCTTAAATTCCACATATGAGTGAAATCATATGGTATCTGTCTTTCTTTGACTGACTTATTTCACTTAGCATAATATATTCTAGCTCCATCCACGTTGTTGCTAATGGCAAGATTTCACTCTTTTTGATCATTGAGTAATATTTCATTGTTCTTTATCCATTCATGGACATTTGGGGTCTTTCCATAGTTTGGCTATTGTCAACAGTGCTGCTATAAACATTAGGGCGCGTGTGCCCCTTTGAATCAGCACTTTTGTATCCTTTGGATAAATACCTACTAATGCAATTGTTGGGTCGTATGGTTAATTGTATTTTTAATTTTTTGAGGAACCTCCATGCTGTTTTCCAGAGTGGCTGTACCAGTTTGCATTCCCACCAGCAATGAAAAAGAGTTCTCTTTTCTCTGCAGCCTCACCAACATCTATTGTTTCCTGAGTTGTTAATTTTAGCCATTCTGACAGGTGTGAGGTAGTATCTCATTGTGGTTTTGATTTGTATTTCCCTGATGATGGGTGATGTTGAGCATCTCTTCATGTGTCTCTTAGTGACCTGGATGTATTCTTTAGAAAAGTGTCTATTCATGTCTTCTGCCCATTTTTTCACTGGATTATTTGTTTTTTGGGTGTTGAGTTTGGTACGTTCTTTATAAATTTTCAGTACTAACCCTTTATCTGATATGTCACTTGCAAATGTCTTCTCCCACTCCTTTGGTTGCCTTTTAGTTTTGTTGCTGTGCAGAAGCTTTTTATCTTGATGAGGTCCCAATAATTCATTTTTGCTTTTGTTCCCCTTGCCTCCAGAGACAGGTCTGTTAACCAGTTGCTGCAGCCAAGGTCAAAGAGGGTATTGGCCTGTTTTCTCCTCTAGGATTTTGATGGCTTCCTGTATTACATTGAGGTCTTTCACCCATTTTGAGTTTATTTTCGTGTATGGTGTAAGAAAGTGGGCCAGTTTCATTCTTCTGCCTGCCACTGTCCAGTATTTCCAGCACCATTTGCTGAAGAGACCGTCTTTTTACCATTGGATGCTCTTTTCTGCTTTGTCAAATATTAATTGGCCATATATTTGTAGGCCCATTTCTAGGTTCTCTATTCTGCTCCATTATCTATGAGTCTATTTTTGTGCCAATATCATACTGTCTTAATGATTACAGCTTTGTAATACAGCTTGAAGACCAGAATTGTGATGCCTCCAGCTTTGGTTTTCTTTTTCAACATTACTTTGGCTATTTTTGAGCCTTTTCTGGTTCCATACAAATTTTATAATTGTTTGTTCAAGCTCTGTGAAGAATGTTGATGTTATTTTGATAAAGATTGCATTGGGGCGCCTGGGTGGCGCAGTCGGTTAAGCGTCCGACTTCAGCCAGGTCACGATCTCGCGGTCCGTGAGTTCGAGCCCCGCGTCGGGCTCTGGGCTGATGGCTCAGAGCCTGGAGCCTGTTTCTGATTCTGTGTCTCCCTCTCTCTCTGCCCCTCCCCCGTTCATGCTCTGTCTCTCTCTGTCCCAAAAAAATAAATAAACGTTAAAAAAAAAAAAAAAGATTGCATTAAGTGTATAGATTGCTTTCAGTAGTATTGACATTTTAACAATATTTGTTCTTCCAATCCATGAGCATGGAATATTTTTCCATATCTCTGTTCCTTCTTCAATTTCTTTCATGAGGTTTCTATAGTTTTCAGCATATAGATCTTTTACCTCTTTGGTTAGGTTTATTCCTACGTATCTTATGAGTTTTAGTACAATTGTAAATGGGACCAATTCCTAGATTTCTCTTCCTGCTGCTTTATTATTGGTGTATAGAAATGCAACCAAGGGGCACCTGGGTGAGTCAGTTGGTTAAGTGTCCGACTTCAGCTTAGGTCATGATCTCGTGGTTCGTGAGTTCGAGCCCCACGTCAGGCTCTGTGCTGACAGCTGGGAGCCTGGAGCCTGCTTCGGATTCTGTGTCTCCCTCTCTCTCTGCCCCTCCCTCACTTACACTCTGGCTCTCTCTTGAAAATAAATAAACATTAAAAATTAAAAAAAAAAAAGAAATGCAACCAATTTTCAGTTATCAAAAATCTCCCAACAAACAAGCGTCCTATGCCAGATGGCTTCCCAGGGGAAATCTACCAGACATTTAAAGAAGAGTTATTATCTATTCTTCTGACTGTTACAAAAAATAGAAATGGAAGGAAAACTTCCAAACCCATTCTACGAGGCCAGCATCACTTTGAGTCCAAAACCAGACAAAAGACCATACTAAAAAGGAGAATTATAAGGCCAATATCCCTGAGAAGCATGAATGCAAAAATTCTCAACAAGATATTAGGAAATCGAATCCAGCAGAACATTAAAAAAATTACTCATTACAATCAAGTGGGATTATTCGTGGACTGCAGTGGCGGTTCAATATTTGCAAATCAATCAATGTGATATACTACATTATAATAAAAGAAAGGATAAGAACCATATGATCCTCTCAATAGATACAGAAAAAGCATTTGACAAAATACTGTATCCTTTCTTGATAAAACCCTCAAGAAGGTAGGGATAGGAAGAACATAACTCAACATCATAAAAGCCATATAAGAAAGATCCACCACTAATATCATCCTTAATGGGGAAAAACAGAGTTTTCCCCGAGATCAGGAACTCAACAGGGATGTCCACTTTCACCACTGCTGTTCAACACAGTACTGGAAGTCCTGGCCTCAGCAATCAGACAACAAAAAGAAATAAAAGGCATACAAACTGGCAAAGAAAAAGTCAAACTTTCACTCTTCACAGATGACATAATACTCTACATGGAAAACCCAAGACTCCACCAGAAAACTGCTAGAGCTGATACATGAATTCAGCAAAGTTGCAGGATATAAAATCAATGTACAGAAATTGGTTGCAATAGTCTTGAATAAAGTCTTCCTGGACTGTTTAACTCGATATGGTCCAATTTTTCTTTGAGAACAGTTACCTGTTTCTGAAACACAAATGTGTGGTGGGATTTCTTAACTGTCACTATTTTCTCTGGAAGCACAGGACTCCTATGAAGTTGAACATTGTCAGAGGTGATAAGAAAACTGATCTCCCCAGTGGTTTGCACCAAATAATTAATGCTTTCAAAATGCTGATTAAGTCTAATTTCTTTTTGACCATAAGGGAAACAACACCTTTTATCAACAGGTGTTCTTTGAGCACCCTACTCTGGGCCAGCCTATCTGAAAGGAATAATAAGGTGATCGAGATAGGATATGAGAAGAAATCAGCCCCACCCCAATCTAGAAATTTCTTGCCCTGTTAAAAAGTCACCCAGCCAAAACTGTCCTCAAGATTTTACTCCCTAGTGCAATCATGACCCCATTACAAAATTTCAAAGTCATAAGTTTTGTTCTCCAGGACAAATAATGTGCCCCAGTGTATCTTCACAAGTGTATGTGACCTCTTTTCAAATGTATATTACCAGTACTCCTTTCAAATATAGCCCTTTCAAAAAGGTTTTGGAAGTCAACTTATAAGTTGACTTATAAGTTCATCTTCCCTTCCCTGTTAAGTGTCTCTTTGCCTCCTTTAGCTACGTGCGTATTATGAAGCCCGTTCTCCCCAACTGACCACGAAGCAAAGCCTGAAGTGTACACTGAATAAAAGAGAATGTCTGTCACTGAGACAAGAAAACTGAAGGTACCCCATAAGAGAAAAAGCTGGGTTTTTTCCCTTTGCTTCTCTTCCAGCTTTTATTCTTGCTAGGACCTGCACCCCTGCCCTACACATGCCTTCATGTATGCCCTCCTTGTAAGGGACAAAGAGTTAATGATACCTTTGGAGTCTTTCAGCACAACAGATAATATCTAAGGAATGACACAGCAGAGTCATCATGTGACTATTCCAGATTACTGGCACTGGACATATCGACACCAAGACCCTTGGCTTCAGGCTGTAAGTGACTTATGATGGACATCTAGACCCTGTCCTTGTTGTAACCAGTTTCTGGATGCCTAAGAGGACACGTGTACCAGACCACAATTGTTAATAAAAACCCCAGGTCCCAAGCAAAGAAAAGACTCTCTCTTTTCCTTTCCAGGTCTCCTGGACGCTCCATCTGTATCTCTCTCTGTCTCTCTGTATAGATAGATATAGCTATAGCGATAGTGATAAAGATAGAGATGGATATACATATATCTAATAAGCTCTGCTTTCACTTCCTGCGGGCTTACATTTGATTTCCATCCTGTGTGAAACCAAAGAGCCTCTTAGCTGGTCCTGCGAGATCCCCCTCTGGGTTCTGGAACCCACCTGCTGCTTCATCACCTCCATTTGTTAAAAAATTGGGATGAGGCACCTCCCGGTCCTTGGCTGGTGAGCCCTTTCCTTCTTTTCTCTGATGCAAGTCCTGCAAGCAGCAACATCTTATTTTAAAATTTTGAGCTGAGGTGTTAGCCCCCCACCCCCACCACCCGATCCCTGCTGAGGTAAAGTTCTCTAGAATCTGGCAATACCTAAATCTAAGGTGATAGCAAATCCTTGTCCAAAAAGCAGTTTAGGAATCCTAAATGTTTCTTCTGTGTCTTTCTCAGTTTCTTCTGAGAATCTAAAAGTATGGTTCTGTCAACAAGGTTTGAACAACTCACTGTATTTTAATATGACAGTTTTTGTACAAGAACCAGTTGGAACACAGTCCCAAATTATTTCCTGTCCCCTTCCCATCTCCCCTACTCCTCTCTCCCTGTCTTTTCCTTTCTCTCTCCCTCTCTTCTTTCTCTTCCTACTTCACACACACACACACACACACACACACACACACACACACTTTTTTAACCCTATATATCCCGGTCCATTACACATCCAATTGGCCCATCCTGACTGTTCCACACAGCTTTCTGTCTTCTCCCACAGGATTTCAGGGGCTCTCTGTCTGCAGACAAAAATCTAGAGAACAGTGAGGAGAATGTAGAATGGCTCACTGCAAATGAAAGTTTCCTTTCTTCTCTTGCCTTTTCTTTTTGACATATCCTCCTTGAACTCTTCCTTGCTCGTAAGATGCACAGAAAACTGCAAGGCAGAATTACCTTCACCACACTTTGCACAGGGAGCCGTGTGGGTGGGAAAGAACATTTCTTACTGAGAAAACTTTCCCTTGTCAGTAAGTGCATGATAATAGCACCTGCCTATTAAACAACATTCCCTTTCTGAAACTTTAATTCCACCTATAGATCATATTTTTCAATGAAAGTTTTGCTATTGAAGTAGCTGCCAGGATGTTATGGACCGGCGTGATTGCAATTTACAGTATTTCATAAATCACTGCAAGATTGAAAATGCTTGTGACAAAGGAGGCTTTAAATTGACATCCTGTCTTTTTATGGGCATTAAAAAAGTTGATCTCATGACATACTCCACAGACGCATCCCTCCTTCCTCAGCCAAAATGTCCCCACCTGGCGCAGCCTTGGGCAGGTGACTGGGGAAGGAGGGAGAAAGGGATGTCAGGAAGCAAACCACAGCTCTCCAAAGTGTGCTTTGTAAGAGAGGAAAATCCAAAGAATTGATCTTTGGATATGAATGTGATCTCCAGAATTCATAACTGCTTAAAAGACAAGATCCTTGATCTATCTCCTACCAGCAGCACCAATCTGTGAATCTCATCAGCCCCAATGAATCCCTACAGCACCACAAAATTTAAAGAGAAAATTAGATCAATTCTCCTTAAAGGAACCAAGAAACTTGCAATTTCCTTAATGGAGATCACAAGGTCAAGCAATGAGTGAACTGGGAACCTCACGAGAAAATGATCAGTGCCCACTTTCTATTCTATTCTAATATGGCCACACATTAGAATCATCTGAGAAGCTGTTAAAATACCCCACACTTCAGGGCTATAAACAAGATCTAAAATTTCCCCAGGTGACTCTAATATGCAGCCAGTTTTGAGAATCATTGGCCCAGAAACAAAAGGCAAGCAACAGAAAGGAGTGACAGGCAAGCTGTTATAAATCAGGGACACCAGAAAACACACACTTAGGTATGAATTTAATGAGTACTGTCACTACTAAACTCCAGCCGTCTGTTGCCATGAAGGAATAGGAGCCCATTGTTGTCAGACTTTCTGATTTGTACCAGAAATCTGGATATTTTTATCATGAAATCTGACTTTTCATGGTTGAAAAATAACTCAAGAAAATACTATGCAACTTAAACAAAATACATCTTGGAACTACAAGTTTGCAACCTCTGACCTAGATAATGCTGATTTACACATCAAAATTTTCCACAAATAAAAATACTGCACCACCAACAACATAAATGGCCAGGATGATTCTCTCAGGGACAAAGGCAAGCTTAGTGGAGAAGTATTACAGTGGAAGCCAGTTACACTGATATATAATAGATATATAAATGTCAGCAACAAACATGGGAGCTGTGGTCAGATGGCCCTCCTGTTTTTATATTTTGAGTTAAGTGTCCTCAGATGAAGAAAGGGAAGCAGAAGTTCTGCTGTTTTGGGGGGAGGAATCTGGCTTCCCCACAATGCTCTGGGGAAATTCCAGTCCTTGGTAGGTCTCAGAAACTCGGTCACATTAACCCCAGACCTTCGCTTGGCCATCTCAGAACTACTGAAACTGGTCTTTTACCCACTTTTTCAGTGTTTGCTGACACAAGAGTCTGAGAAGTGAGAGACGAAAGGAAAGGAGGACGGGTACCAGTCGCAAGCTCCTTCAGCATTAAAGCAGTGACTAACACTAATTACGCCTCTCAGACCTGTTTGAGCAGACCTGTTTTCTCTATGAATTAATGCAGAGTGACCTACTTTTCTACATGTTATTTGTTATTTGGGCTGTTATTTTATCGATTTTGAGACTGTTTTGTTACATGGGAATGGAAAAATCTAATACAATAAAACTCTTCTCATTGAAAATAATAAAGCTACATCACGAAATATAAATTTATGTGTTTCCTTATAAAAAGATAGCATCTGTGGACTACATTTAGGTTGTGGGAATTAGCTGAAGGCTGTTTCAGTGGATTAATAAAAACAAAAACAAATATGAATACATTAATGTTTAGACATAAAACCTAAGATAAAATAATAGACTGCATTTCTAAATTTTAAAACTTGTTTGTTTATAATATTCTAGAGATATTTATTTCATAAAGGAGCACAATGTTAGTCTTACAAGACCATATATATTTTCTATTTATATTCCTCTTGTCCCATTTTTCATGTGCATTATATCATCTGATTTTATTATGCTTCATATTTTATTTATTCATTTATGAGGCCCTGGGATTTTATTTCTTGAAATCTTAGTGGAATGTTTACTAAAATACAGATAATTAAAAATAAAATCACACAGCTCACATGCACATTTTGTTTTATATGCAATTATAAATGTATTTTCAAGGCAATTTTAATGTCCAATTTCCACAAAGCATTTTCTTCTCCCTGTGCAGCACATACTCTATGGAAATCTTAAAAAGAGGCTGTTTTCATAACTTTGGTAATTGCAAGCCTCAGAGATTCCACCTACCCGCGAATGCATAGGAATGATTTGCATTCTGGTCATGAAAATAACAGTATTTTTGATGCACGTGGGCTTCCCAGAAAGATACAATTGCCAAGGGGTGTCAGAAGAGGGTGGTTTACAAAGAGGTGGGAATTACTAGCATACAGAACAAGGCCTGAAGCAGTCTTCATAATCCCATGATGGGAGCCATCTTGCTATCTCAAATACTCTCCCACTGACCTGCAGGAGCACAATGAACACTGATTATCAATGCCGCATAGCTACATAGTGATTCACACACCACACACATATATAAAGCAGCGGGTGTCATCATTTCCTAGCTACCCTGTCCTCCTCCTTGCCACTGCAAAAACAAAAACAAAAACAAAAAAAACAAAAACAAAAACAAAAACAAAAACAAAAACAAAAACAAAAACAAAAAAGCAGCGAGTCTTCCCAGGATGCTACTATCTCCCCTATGAAGCCACTTAGCATACAGAGCACGGGAGTCGTACCTACAGTGTTGTGCCTTGCAATCTTCCCCCACCCTTTAGATTTTCCTGTGCTGGTAAGGAGAGATTAAGGAAAATGCAGGAACTCCAAGAAAATGGAAAATATTTCAATCGATGTAATTTCCACCCAAAACTAAGAAATTGGATATGAGTTGAGACCACACTGGCCTTTACCCAGCTCTTTCTTCCTTTCTCACCTCCTACTGAATAAATTAAAGTGATTTATACTTGTCTTTCTAGAGTCAACTTAAGGGTCATTGCCTTCAGGAAGCTCTCTGGGCTGGGCCTCCTCATACTCTCATGACACCTGCTTTGCCCACAACGTCATTCTTGTTGCATTACACTACAACACTGGTGTAGGGACTCGACTTCTCCAGTAGACTGACTTCCTTAAGGGCAGTGACTGGGGCTCAATATTTCTGTGGTCCCAGTGCTTCACCCAGGGTCTGATATACCTAAAAGGTGCTCAGTAAATGGTAACATATTATTCACAAAAACAGCCTATACAGCATCATAGCTCAATTAAGGTGGGACACATTCGCCCACCAAACATTTACTGGTCACCTGCCTGTGGTGAGACTGGGCCAAATACTGAACATACATGACGTAACGTAAAGCTCAGCCATCTTTCAAGAAGTGTATATTTTCTCATATGTTACAGGTAAGTAAACACTCAAGATATGTTTATTTAACCAAGGTCACACAACCAGTAAATGACAGAGTTTGGATTTAATCCAAGGGATGTCTGACTCGAACACCTGTTTTTCCTTTTCTATCTCAGTGCTAGTCAAAGGAAAATATCTCTATGTTACCATTAGAAAAAGTAAACTTAAAAACAAATCTATGAATAAGGCCTTCTTGCCACTGCCATTTTCTCTCCCTATCTTTCTTCCTCTCTCTCCTTCAAAGTTAACACCTTCACAAGTCTTCCAGACACCTGTCCTGAAAACAAAGTCAACATTACCACTTAAACTAAAAATATGAAATATCCCACCAACTGTTTAGTGCTCATATAGTTCTATTTTGTCAGAAATACAGTATGCGTCGCTATAAATCTGTTCACATGTAACACATAATTATGCTGTCTACAAACATCACAAGCTCTACTGCTATACACAACCTGCCTTACAACCCCCAAAAGCCCCTAGCAAGTGAGAATCCCTGATCTAAAGAGCATGTTACTATTTACGAGCTTATCAACTGAAGCTCTGATACTTAAATGTACCTCTAAAAACTTCTTCCATAATGAAAACACAGGTATCTTAAAACACACAATGGAAAAAACCAATAGGATGGAACCAGTTCCTTGGCTAGGACCATGATGCCTGTGCTGGAGGTGGGGCAGGAAGGGGGGGTTATCCAGCCCAAACTTGTCTCTGGTTTTGTGCAGACTATGTCCTTAAGTTCCATGGCAACCAACCATCAGCCTGATTTACCAAAATAAAAAATAAAAGTGCTTCCTGCAAGAGGAATGCAAAAATCCATTTCTAAGGCCAGTGAGAGCTGCCAAAAGTAACCCCAGGAGACTTGTCACATTAGAATGCTGTCACTACCACCATCAATTGATGGGAACAGATCAAGGAGGGTTTCTGGTGTTCAGAAAAGACATCCTTCCCTCTCACAGAACAGGTGCTGCTGTGCTCCTCCAGTGACCCCAAATGGACAGAAACAAAGGAGGTAGTACTCAGCATCTGTAGATGCCAAGCACTTGGCCAGATGGTCCTTCTTCACATCTAGAAGAAAACAAGTCCCAAAAAGAAGAGATGTGGGGAAGTTGTCCAGCCAAGAACCAAGGGAACCATGCCAAGGTGCATCTTTACAGAAGGGAAACTTAAGAGAGCAAAGAACACGTTCCTGGTGGCAAGAGGTCAGGTTAAGGGGCAACAGTAAGAAGTACTCATTTTATCACACGTCTTACTTCCCACTGGATTCTCAGTATCTTGAAGGTGGGACCATGTCTTCTTCATGTCCCCAGCAGAGTATGTGACCATTAACAAACAATAAATGAATGAAGAAATGAATGCTTCCTTCATTCTCTCTCAGGTATTTGCCTTCTTTTTAACGCTTCTCTTCTCTGCTTACTGACCTGTGCCTCCTTATGAAGTCTTTATGAGTGGGACAAGAGTCTTGTCCCTCTTTATGAGTAAGACAAGAGACCATGGACACAACTGTCTGAAGCACTACCTATCACTCATCCTTGTTGCCAATTCCCAGAGCAATTAGGAGAATGTAATTATAAGTGTCCAAAAATCTCTGAAATATTTCAAGCATCATTCACTAATATTAGTAGCACATTTATTTAATTCCAAGCATCTCTCTGTATTTGATAGATTGTAAAGAGGAATTTATATGAAATGAGACAGGATACTTCTTCCCCTATTAAAATGAATATAAATAGCTTATGAATGATGGTTCACTATAACAATATGCATAACAAATGCACTTCACAAGTAACTGAAGAATAGGCACCTAGTGTTCTAAACTCATGAATATTTGGGGAAATTAAGTAGAGCACAGAATGTAAATAGAAGGAAGGGGAGAAAATAAATACTTCTGCAAAAGCATATCTGTAAACAAAAGCCTTAGAGTTGCATTTGTGTTTTTCTGCTTTTTCATTATTTAGCATGTTGTGTCTTTAAAAAAGAATTTTAGGTATATATGTATATATATGAAATATCTATATCTACATATAGATAAATACAGATCTATGTCTGCCTGAAGTTTTAAAGCAGTTTGTAAAATAAACTGATAGCCAACAGAGCATATTTAGACAAGCTATTTAGTATTCTGGTCCTAATGGGTTAAGAGCCTCAAGTGAAATATTCTGATCATACGTGTTAATTTCATACCTCCAATGCGATCTGGCAATGCTTAGCTCACATATTCTTGCAAATTACTGGAAATACAACATTCCCATGAGACAAAGTGACAGCTATGAAATTAAGTAGTTTAAGCCAAAGACTCCAACAGCTACATTAAACAAACACACCCCCAGCAAGTTTCTCTGCCCCACTCGTGCAAATGGAATACAATCGCGTCTAAACAGCAACTCACAGCTCTCTGCATTCAATATTAGAAAATAATGTAAATCTCTGGCTTTGTTTTATTATCTTTCCAGGACCTTCTTTCCTTTCTTCCAGGAAAGTAGGTAATCAGGGCACAAGAATGGGGAAAGTCCTCATTGGTCAGGTTCAGATAAATCTGGTATGATTTAAAATAGCTAGCTCTGGGGTTTTTTTTCTTAATGTTTTTTATTTTTTGGGAGAGGGAGGGAGAGAGAGACACGGGGCGGGGGGGGGGGGGAGCACACAGAATTTGAAGCAGGGTCCAGGCTCTGAGCTGTCAGCACAGAGCCCAACACAAGGCTTGAACTCACAAGCTGTGAGGTCATAATCTGAGCCGAAGTCTGACAATCAGCCGACTGAGCCACCCAGGCGCCCCACTAGCTATGGTTTTCAATCACAGCTTAGAAGTTGTTTCTTCTTTAAGTTTCTTTAAGAAAATTTACTGTGTGTTATTTTTAAATTATTAACTGATTATTTTAAGAAGTAGAATCCTTCAGGGGCGCCTGGGTGGCGCAGTCGGTTAAGCGTCCGACTTCAGCCAGGTCACGATCTCGCGGTCTGGGAGTTCGAGCCCCGCATCAGGCTCTGGGCTGATGGCTCAGAGCCTGGAGCCTGTTTCCGATTCTGTGTCTCCCTCTCTCTCTGCCCCTCCCCCGTTCATGCTCTGCCTCTCTCTGTCCCAAAAATAAATAAACGTTGAAAAAAAAAAAATTAAAAAAAAAAAAAAAA